ATCTGAATACATATTTATGTATGCTCACCGATGTGCTTGACGGGCCAGATGGTTTTTCTCGCCAGCAGGGTTCGATCTGTGTGCTGATCTCGCCAAGAGTCTCGACGCCAGAGTACACGCACACGTACCTTTACACTCAGGGCAGCCGGTTGCCCAGCTCACCTAAGCAGATATTGCACAGCACGCGGGACGCGTGGACTTCTTGTCCTTAAAAGGCGGCAAAAAGAGGGTGGTTTGGGGTGGCAGAACGCATAGCGGACGGAGACCGTGGGAAGCTTCAGCACAGACATTTAAGGAGACGGCCCTTCCTGACATCCCGAGGCAGACAAACCACATGTAAACAAAGGAGTATGTATGCTCACCGATGTGCTTGACGGGCCAGATGGTTTTTCTCGCCAGCAGGGTTCGATCTGTGTGCTGATCTCGCCAAGAGTCTCGACGCCAGAGTACGCGCACACGCACCTTTACACTCAGGGCAGCCGGTTGCCCAGCTCACCAAAGACGCCTTTTCCAGCCAAAAATAAAAACTGGCATGCCGTATCAAGCCCACAACCCAAAACGCAGCAAGCTAAACCACTGACGTACACTGAAGATTCGAGAGGATAGTACTCGCATATGCCTTGAGGATCCCAACGCACAACTTCCGGGGGTACGGCTCGGCGATTTTTGTACGATGCACGTGATTATCATCATGACCCTGGAGGCAGGTATGGGGTTTGCCGGTGAAGTCACAGACTTTGGTACCGTGGCACTTGAAGGGGAGGTGAGAGAGGACAACGTTGGCCGACACGAACCTGGTCCTCTTCCTCCAGGGCATGCCGCAGGCACAATAATCTAGAACGGCAACGTCTACATCTGAATATTTCAGGATCTGAGACCAGGCGGGCATTGACCACAATCGGCTCGCATGAGGGTTCTCGATAGTAACTGGAACCATCATCGTACGAGCCAAACGAAAGAAACCAGCGGAGATGGAGCTCAACTCGTTGGCCTCCTGGACCCTGGACAGGACGTGGCCCGAGAGACCTGGAACTCCACCAGGGTATTGCCTAGACCTCCAGCCCCCCCGGTTTGCCATCGAAAAAAATGGTGCACGGGGTCCCGAGCCACAGGGCCCTCGCCAGTTTCGAGCGAATCCAGCCGCGGACGAGGCGGGCCAAGGCCCGATTCGTAAGATCGTGGGCGGGCCCGTGTCGGATATCGATGGCAAACACAGGTATACGTCGGAGGCCAGGGGTCGAACGCCAGGCCGATGACCCGCGAGCCTGGCCAGCAAACAGCTCTAGTGCAAACCCTTCCTCCGGAGCAACGAGCAGGCTCGGGATGGCGCGAAGATCATGGGCGACAGTCGCTCGGCACACTCCGCGGCGGCCTCCTGCACGGGAACGTCGAAGCGCTGCAGCTGCTCGTTCAGGCGGCCGGCCTTGACGTGCCGGTGGAGGGGCGCGTCCGATTGCCACCGGCCGCGCTTCTTCACCCCGGTCGTGTCGCGCCCGCCGCCGAGAATCTCGTGGCCGGCGCCCCCGTGCCTGAGCTGGCGCAGGGAGATCGGCGCCAGCGCGGACAGCGGCAGCGCGTTCGCGGCCTGCTGGAACTGGCCGCGCCACTGCGCGTAGGTCAGGCCGACGATCGGGTCGTCGGGACCCCGGCGGCTCATGATCACCTCGAGGACCTGGTGGACCCACGCGAACTCCACGCTGTCGTGCAACAGGCTCTCGTCGAACACGGCAGTCTTGCTCGGCACGCCGCCCTCGATCGGGTTGAGCAGGAGGCTCCACTTCCGCAAGGCGGCCGGGCCGCCGCGGGGCGGCGCGACGAGGTCCCGGCAGCGGAGCCTCAGCAGCTCCGATGGGCGGCAGTAGAACACGAAGTTCAAGAGCGTCATCCAGGCCGCCTCGGTCAGGCCCAGGGCCAGCAGCTTGGTGCTGATCAGCGCCACCACCGTCCACGGCAAGGCTTGAAGTCGCGCCCGGGACGGCGCGAGCTTCCCGAAGCCCTTCAGGGCCCGGCGTGCCCGAGGGAGCTCCGGGGTCCGCCGAGTCACACGAGGATCGCAGAACACGAGTGCCGCCAGCAACGCCGACGCGTGGTCCACCACCTCGCCGTTGAAGAAGAGGTCGTGGAAGTACGCCACCACCGCGTGGTCGAGCTCGGCCAGCGTTGCCGTGGGGAGGCCCAGGGCAGTCGTCCAGTTGGCGAAGGTCTGAACCATCTCGCGGTACCGTACCTGCTGGGCCGGCCGCGCCACGCTCCGCTCCAACAGCGAGTGCCCCGGGGTCCCCGTCAAGGCCTCCCGCGGGTGCTGGCGAGCCAGAGCGCGACGGCGATCCTCGCGCCGGGCGCTCTCCAGCGCCGGCCGGCTGAGCACGCCGCGAGGTGCCCGGGCGCGTGCGGAGCTCGCCACCTGCGCGGCCCCCTTCGACCGGGCAGAGACAGCCGCCGGCCAGCGCCGCGCCACGGCTCGGGACGCCAGAGCCGGGTAAGGCACGCCCGTCCTGGCTGTCGGAGTCCACGCCGCCAGAGGGGCCGAGGCCGGCGAAGGCGCCCCCGAGGGCGCGGCCGGCGGAGCGGACGCGACGCTCGCGGGCGGTTCAAGCGGCCGCGCTCCAGGCCACAGGAGCATCCGCGCGCCGCGGCGGAGCTGGGACCAGGGCCTCGAGCCCGGGCGGGGGCCCAGGCAGGCGAGTGCTGGCCGGCGCTCGAGCCGGGCGCACGTTGCGGGACGGGGGGTCGCTGTGCTCAGACGGGACCCACCGCCACGTGTGGTAAGAGAAGGACGCGAGGGCCAGCGCGGCGCGCTGCCGGCAGATCCGCATCATCCCCCTGGCCGAGGACCGCCCCTTTGTCACTGCCAGAATAGGTGCCATAGAACCCCCGCGATGAAGGTGCCGCCGGCCAAACGAGGCTAACGATCGGGTGCATCGCTTGGTAGACCAGACCATAGCCCGACCTTCACGGCAAACCTGAGGCTCGGAGCGGGCCCATGACCGGGAGGTCACGAGGCGCCACCCCCCATCCCAAAGGCGACGAGCCAGAAGGACGCCCCGCAGAAAGACCCCCAGAACGTTCAGGAGCAGCCTCCCCGGAAGGTTCGGCACAGAACGCGCGCGGCCCTCCGGAGGGCGCGCCGCCGGGCAGAAGCGAATCCGGCCGCGGCGACGAGGCCGGGGGAGCGTGGTAGCCCCCGAGGAGGGCGGCCAACAGCGCGGAATCCCGGGGACACCAACCCTTAATTTTCTTCATCCCGCGTGAACCTCCAGCGTTCGTTGAGCTTGCCTAAGTCCGCGACGACGCGGGGGTCCAGGTCCTGGATACAAGCGCTCATGCCCCAACTAGAAGCGTCCACGACTGATACCTCGGAGGCCCATGGGGCAGACAAGTCACGCGAGGCGAGGACGATGAGGCGGCTGGCCCCCGTGAATTCTCTTTTCACCGAGGGCCAGAGTGGCACCGCAGAGTCACCAGCATGTTCTATAAACGAGTAGGCGGCGTTGAACACGCACAAGAGCTCGCGCCTAACCAGGGCGCGGGTGGTAAAGTGGGACACGAGGATCTCGACAGTCTTTCCTGAAGCGCACTTCCGACGAGCGAACTCCTGAAACCCAAGACGAAGCTTCCAGCAGGTAGCCGGGTTGACCCCGACCTCGGCCGAGTCGTCCGAGAAAGTCCACCCCAGGGTAGTTCCTCCCCTCGTGTCCTCCACCGGGTGCACGGGCGGACGGGCGCGCGCGAGCTCCGAGGAGACGGCGCGGGCAGCATCTCCGGCGGCCTGCTGACACTGACTGAGAGCGATAAAGTTATCGACGTACTCTGTGTGGATCAACGGCGTCAAGGGCGGGGCCGGACGTCCGTTGAATAGGGCATTCGCCTCTTCGATGCCCGGGGCCCGCCTCGAGAGGATCTCCAGGGCATGCTGCATTAGCCACAGTGAGAGCTTCCAACCCATAGGGATCGCGGTGAAGAGGGGGGCGATGTAGGTATTGGGGGCCACCGGGGCCCCATTCACATCTGAAGCTCCAACCTGTCCAGCACGGATCCTGGGAAGACCGAAGAACTCCTGGAGACCCTCAGGCAAGGCAACGTTGTAAAATGCGTTGGCCACATCGACGCCGCCGACGCAGATAGGATCGCTAGAGTCAGATATGGATGCGAACGAGGACCCACTCGCCAAGTGAACGGCATCGGAGTCGTCGAACCAGCAACTCGAGATACGACCATCAATGATGACCCGAAGCTTCCCTGACTTCTTAAACACGGCGAAGATCCCAACCGTCGCTTTGCATTCTAATCCCCACGCCGCCAGGCCGGCCTCTCGGAGCCGCTCTAGGACCGAGGCGTACAGGCGAGGAGAGCGTCTGAGAGCAGGGTCTATATAGGGCCTAGAGAGGCCATCACGGGCCATCTTTTCGCGCGCAAGGCGCTCAGGTAAAATATTGCCATTCAGCTTTTCGACCGAGGTTTCACCCTCGGGACCGAGCAAATCACCTGGGGGCTCCGGAAAACTACCAGGGGACGGGAGGTCCAGGAGGCAGACATTGTCTGGGCCGATCGGCGCCAGGGTGGCCGGCGCACCACCGTATGAGCGCCAGGCGCAGAGCTCACTGAGTGCTCCCGCGCCGGAGAGCCCTGGGGGGGGGCCCTAAGCGATCCACAGCGCGACGAATGAGACGACGCGCCTCGAGCCGAGCCGCACTGGGAGAGCATGACCCTACCCTCGGGGGCCCGCTTGTAAAAAATTGATTCAAACTCGAGGCAACCGATTCCGCAAAACGAGCCGAGTGGGCCTGACGGAGGTGGCGACGACGAGTCGGCCGAGAAAAAGCTGACGAGTCGGGACCCGGCTCGCGCAAGCAGGAGAGAGGCAGAGGAAGGAGGTCGCGCTGCCGATCAGCACAGGCTTCACTCAGCATCGCGCCCTCGAAAGGGGGGCCGCGTATCGCCGCGGTGAGCGGCCTCTCGATCTGGCACCAGGCTAGAGGCTTCACCCGGGCCGTGCTGCATCATCTTTGCTTCTTGAGGAGCGCCGCGCGCTCCTCCTTGGCTTTCCGAACTTGCTTCAAAATCGCGGCATCCTTTTCTACTTCACGAGCCACGTGATCCAGCAAAGCCGGACACACCATGGCCGAACCCGTGTCCTTGTTGAGGCCGGAGAAACTGGCCGCCTCATCCATGAGGCCGACGAACGTCGCCGTCGAAGCGTTGGGCTTCCTGTCCTTCCCTGCCTTCTCGGCGGCCCCCATGGAGTCCATCCAATAGACGTACTCAGAGAGCTGAGCCTTGCGCATGAGCGACTCGATGCCCGCCATATCGCAGATATTCACACCGTCGTACACGGCAGCCTCCTCCAGCACGCGCAGCGCGGTGCCGTGGATCTCCACCCCCCACGAGTCTGGCTTCAGCCCGAACACGCTCACGAACTGCCGATGGTGCGCCACGGGTGCAGTCGAACGCCTGTCGAGCCACTCCGCACACCACTTCACCGTGCGAGGCCCTGGCACCGTCCACGAGGGGTAGGCGGTCTCCACGAGCTCCTTGCACACGTCGCTCCAGCCGCCGCGAGGCCGGGCCAAGACGTAGGCCGAGCCGTCCAAGATGCGCGGGTCCCGCACAGCCTCCAAGGCCGCGTACTCCGTCGCGTCCATGGCCTGGATGTTCCTGACGACGACGCTGAGTCCGCCGGGCGCCTGCATGATGGCGAGCTCGCCGTGCACGATGGCGTTCGCCAGGAGCGCGACTGGATCACCACGCTTGGCGAAGGTCGTGCAACCGCGACCCATTGGGCGGCGGCTGCGCCGGCGACACCAGCCACGGGCGCCGGCGGTGCCGCGCCGGCCGCAGCCGCGGGCTGGGCGCCGGGCGCGGCACCTGCCGCCGCGGGCGCGCCAGCGGGGCCGCCTCCCGCGGCGAGGGGCACCAAGCATCCGGCAGCAGGAGCCGCGAAGGCCTGCCCGACCGCGGCCGCCTCGGCCGCGAGCACCGCCGCCGCGTAGGTCTCGCCCGCAGTGTCGAAGGCGGTCACCTCCGCAGCTGTCGGGGCCCGCCTGGACCGGTAACTGTCCGCCGCCGCGATGCCAGGAGGCCGACCGCGGCCTGAGCAGAAGCGGACCGCGGCAATGTCGGCGGACTGGCCCGAGTAGTCCTCGTCGTACACGTCGCCATCTGGAGTACATATGACGAGCCTCAGAGGCTCAACCGGATTCGGTGCCCGCGACCGCAAGTGACCCAACACCAGACGCTGATGCCAGAGCCGGTCGCCGGCGTAGAGCACCCACGCCCACCGATCCGGCTGCAGCGACGACATCGGGCTCCGGGGCCTTGCGGCGCGGCGTCACGAACTGGATGAGGCTGCGGGCGGCGCAGCTGTTCAGGCTGCCGAGCACGAGGCTGCACACGACGGCCAGGGCCACCCACCACAGGCTGACCGGGTCCAGGGCGATCTCAGCAGCCCCCGGGGCGCCTCGCTCACCGGGCACTCGGCCTGCACAGGAGCCGGAGCACCCGGACAGGCGGGGCACGGCGCGCACGCCGGGCAAGGGTGAGTCGCCGGGCAGCTAGGGCACGCCGGGCAAGGCGGTGCCGACGGGCAGTGAGAAAGGTAGGATACAGTGATCTGGGAAGCGTATCCAAGATAGGGGGAGAGCGCTGCGAGCATGGCCGTGGGCCTGTTCAAGGAGACGGCCCTTCCTGACATCCCGAGCAGAACAACCACATGTAAACAAAGGAATATGTATATACAATACACACATCCATACCCCAACACTTTGTTAAACGCCGATCTAGGACGGTGGTAAAACACAGAGGCGTCTACTTGAAGTTCGCCCGGTTGCGTTAGCAATTTCGCGTAGCTCGACAAGCTTTCTGAGTCTGTGGAGCGTAAGCTCCGATGTGGGATCTGATAGTTATTCTGTAACATTCGGATCGGCCCAGCCGCATGGCAACTTCCTGAATCCTTGCAGCGACCGCCAGATCCGCGCTGGGAAATCCAGGGGCCTGAGCGCATTTCCGACTCAAGCGCGCCCTCTCATCAAACCCATCCCCTCCAATGGCGACGAACCTTCGAAACGATGAGGGGATTTTTTTTCATTATTCCGGGAAGCGGCTGTTACCCGGGGGGGGGGGGGGGCAACGGGTAACCGCAACGGAGGCCGCGGCGGGCGCCTGCCCGAGTGCGCCCGCGCCCTCGGCACATCAATTGCCTGCGCGCGCTGCGATCCCTGCGCACGCGACAATGCCACGAGATAGATGGGTATAGATAGCTGCAAGAAGGTCTACCTAACTAGTACACAAAAGACAGCGCCAAACGCCTTCGTGCAGGACAGCGCCGCCCGAGTGCACCGCAATGCTTCGATGCACCACAGCAGCCGCGTGCACAACGCCACCACGTCGCCCATGTGCGCCGCAAGATCCGTGCATACCGCAGCAACCGCGTGCGCAACAGCGCTTGAGTGCACCACACTGCTTGCGTGCACCAGAGCACTTGTGTACACGGGAGCTCCTGCGTGCACCACAGCAACCATGTGCACCATTGCGCCTGCGCGCGCCACAATGCTTCCGTGCACCACAACGCCTGTCTACAACAAAACGTGCCAACGGGCACATCAGTAGCTTGCGAAGCCTTTTTTGCCGGGCCCGCCACAAACCGCGGAAGCCCTCACCACGTCGCCCGTGTACACCGCAACGTTTTTGTATAGTGCAACAGCCGTGTGCGCCACAACGCCTGTGTGCACCACATTGTCTCCTCCTCTTGCTCCTCCTGCGTCTGGTCCTCCTCCCCCTCCCCCGCCTCCTCCTCCCCCGCCGCTTTGCGGGGCTCGCCGCGGACTAAGGAAGGCCTCAACGATGGCCGCGGCCTTCGTGCTGGGGAGAGGGAATACGGAGCGGGAGGAGGAGGGCAACGTGGGATACGGAGCGGGAGGGGGGGACACATAACTCCCAAAAACAAAGCTTGCACTCGGGCGCAGCTTTTGCACTGTTGTTATTTGGGGCCCGCTCGCGCTAACGTGCTGCTGGATCCAAACTGCATGGGGAATGCTTGAGCGTGAACAATCAGGCCCCGAGGGGAACGGGCTCTGGACCGACGACGTCTCAGATCACGGGTCGAATGGCGGCCCGGGGGCGCCAGCAGGGCCAATTCGATACCCACACATGTTTTTGTTCGCGGCCCCAGGACCTGCGAAAGAACCGGAGTGCAAAACCAGAGTTCCACTAGTAGGAAGAGCAGGGGAAGAGAACATAGGGATGTAGACGTAAACCACACTAGTCTGCGCACTGCAACAGCCTGCAGGCGCCACAACAGGCAGGTGAGCACCGAAACATGCCTTTTAGCACGACGCCATGCCTGTGAATTCGGCGCCGCAACTGGTGGGGCACCTGCGAACGCCACAACACGTTTGTGAGCACCACACATGCCTTTCAGCACCACGCCATGCCTGTAAGCACAGCGCCAGACCTGCTGAGAGGAGGGGGGTCCGCCCTCCACCCCAAAAAAACACACGATCGCTAGCAAGCGTTACCCGACAGAGTAAAAAACAAGAAACGCTCACGAGGAGTGAAACGATCTGTCAAAAAACAGCAAGGCGCGCCTCCGCGTACTCAACTTGCCAATCAAGCGCCTGTATTGTATGATGGTGGTCTGATCGACTAATGCTGTGCGGCCTCTGGGTCGCAAACGCAGCATGCACTCAATCTACGCTCACACCTGCGATGCCGCGAGGCCCCCGCGTGCATGGAGCGCTTGTCTGACGCCCTCTGCGGGACGATGCAAGCCAGTAGCAGAAGCAAAGACGGTGACGGGTGACGGCCAGAGAACCCGCCAACCCCTCCAAGCCACCTGTAAACAAACACCAGCCCAAAACTATCCCTATAACGCCACCCGCAACATGATCAAACATGCGCTTGAAGAACGCCGTGTGCGCAAAGGCGGCGGACAAACTGTCAAATCAAAACTGGTATCGGTGCGTTGCCACAGCTCAGGCAGATCAGCCCAAATGTCCAAGCATTCGCAACCTGCCAATAATGACAGCGCGGGTTTCGACACGATTGGCACAGCAACTCTGGAGGCGGGCACACCCACGATGCCGAACTGGATCGCCCTGCGACTCCCCCCCCCTGCAGCGGGAAGCCAGAAATCAGATCCTCCGAGGTCACAGAGGCCAGCTGGGGCAGAGCGCCCCTGATCAGCGAGAGGCCGAAAATCGCGAGTCATCGCGCCACCGGCTCTGGAGCACACTCTCGCAAGCGGGGACTGCTAAACGGTATTCCCAGAAGAGAAAAGCAAACTCCTGGAATAAAACTCCTCAGCTGCTAAGACGGCCTTCCCGGAAGAGAGAAACAGCAAACTCCCAGAGGAAAACTCCTCAGCGCACTGAATAGTAGACGGGCTGCTTCTCAGAATGATAACAATAAGAATGATAATGAAGAATAGCAGTGTCCCGGAGCTCCGTTTCAGCAGCCACGGGTTTGCCAGCCTTCGCCTGGCTTCTGACAGTCGTGGGCGACTCCAGTGGTCAGATCTGCGGGCACCCCCAGCCACTGCCGCGCCCAGGAGGGCGCGCCGCGTTCGCGGGATCCCTGAAGAAGCGTGGCCTTCTGTGCCTGCCGCGTGCCCCAGGACGCCCAGTGGCTGGCGCGGCCTCTCCCAACGGGGGCTCCCTTCGCAAGGAGGCGACTGGCCAAGGGCAGCACCATGAGATTCGAGGCGACCCTCGTCGGTATGGCTGCCACTCTTACCACCTGATTCGGCGTAGTGTAAGCCTTCGCCCCCATGCCGTCCAGTGGGGAGAGCTTGTTCGATACGATCAGCCTGCCAACAACGGCGTCGATCGCATAGGCATCGGTGAAGGCCCCCCAAAGCTGCTGATCCGCATCCCGGTCTGCCTCACTCGTTCTGTGGGATGATTACGGTACTCCGCATCGTCTACATGTCTCCACAGATCCACGACATACAGCGGTAGGTAGCCTGAACACAACGCGCGGAAACTTTTGCGCTTGAGTGTTTGCGGGGAGCGAGCTTACCACATGCGCGGATCGCGCGTGCGCGCACTCCGCGTACACGGGCCACCACAACTAAGGCGCGCGCTGGACGCCTTGCATTCAGCAAACCGTGTGGTAAACACCCTCGTCGTGGCCCTGCCTCCGCATCCTCCTCTGACTCCCCTTCCAGCGCAAACTTCGTGCCAATCCTCCGTTTCTTACCCCCATACTTCGTGCCAATCCTCCGTGACGTTGCAAATAGAGTGGCGGGAGTGGGACGGGGCGTACTCCAGATTTCGTGATGAAAGGGAGGGGGTCTGGACCCTCCAAGACAAGCCGTTTCAGACCTCCCCCGTGGGAGAACCCTCCAAAACATCGGCCCCAGACCCCCCCAGGCCCTCCAAGATGGCCTGGAAGAGCCCCCCCCGAAATAGACCCCCCTCCCTTTCTTACGAACTCCGGCGCACACTGCGCGCGAACGGGGGACGTGTCGCTCTCGCCGCGGCGCCGCACTCCAGCTCTTCTCGAGAGTTGAGCTCCCGCTCGGGTGCGGCTCACGTGTCTGGCTCGACAACTCGTCGACGTGTCGCTCTCGCCGCGGCGCCGCGCTCGACTCTTCTCGAGCGTTGATCTCCCGCTCGGGTGCGGCTCTCGCGCGTCCTGGCCCGAGACAGCTCGTCGACGTGCGCGCGGGCGAGAACGTGCCGCCCTCGCCCGGGGCTCGGCGGTGGACAGACCTCCCTTTGGCACACCTCCCTTCTCCTCCTCCTCCTCCTCCTCCTCCTCCTCCTCCTCCTCCTCCTCCTCCTCCTCCGCCCTCCTCCTCCTCCTCCTCCTCCTCCTCCCTCCTCCTCCTCCTCCTCCTCCTCCTCCTCCTCCTCCTCCCTCCTCCTCCTCCTCCCCCTCCTCCTCCTCCCCCCCACCCCCTAGAACGGCCTAGGACCGAAACCGACGGGCCTGGACCCGCAAAAACGACGGCCGCGACGCCCTCTCGCGAACCGAAGACGGCCAAATTCGCGACTCGACGCGTCAGGGCAGGAGGCCGATCCGCCTCCGGCAGGCAGGCGCCGCGCAACGTCTGCTTGAGAGTGGCGCTCCCGCTGTGGCGCGGTGGATATGTGTCTCGGTCGCCAGGTCCCGGGGCGCGGGGACCGCGCGCGGGCGGGATGGCCTGCTCGCCACTGCGCTCGGACGGCCATGCCCCGTGCACGTTTCGATCTCCCGTGCGTGCCTGTTTTTGTCGCTCGTTGATCCAGGATGCTCCTGGATGGCCCTCGCGGAGAGAAACAAAAGAAGACAACAACGAGAAGAAGAAAGAACCCCCAAGCTAACAGAAGAAAAAGCCATACAAACATTGAAAGAAAGAACGATCCAGGCCCAAACCAAAAGAAAGGACCATCCGGGCACAAACAAAAAGAAGCAAAAACGCCATAAGCATAAACTTTTGGCGCTCCGCGCGCATTTC